TCTAGATTAGAGGCTATCGCGAACATAGACTGAAACAGCGAGGAGCTCAGAGCTTTGACTCTCCGACGAGGCGACGAGCTTTGACTCTCAATCAAAGAGATTGTCCGGGGCTGATAGTCTTCAACGCAAGTGGACCCTGGTGAATCAGTAGAAGGAAATATAACAATCGAGCTATCGAGCGACTCAGTTGCTGCGACTGGTTCATTCATTTTATTAACGTCTTTCGTTTTGTGGGGTTCGATGATGCACCTACTTGGAATTCGACTATCCTGCTTCATTGTCGTTGATATACCGAGGTTGGAACGACCTCGTGCATGAATTTCGTGCCAAGGCATTTGCGTTCGTGATTTAATTGCCAACTGGGTCGCCCATTGATTGGCTTGATATCAGAACTTAAAATCTTGTTCCAAAAATCCATGAATAACTTGGACAAAACTCAGAAATTATGGTCTTAATTTACTCATCTGATGATAGGTACCGGCGCGGAGTTGTGTCGCTATCGATTGAGTGACGCCGGCCAGCAGAGTGCTCTCATCATTGCTCGGTTGGCTCGCAATCCAACAGGGAATTTTGGATTCCACGCTTTAGGCGTATCCTCGAGGGTTGGTCATGTCTAGTTAATAACAGGTTAGGACCTGAAAACGTTTTAGGGCACAATTTGGAAGGACACAGTACCGGATCTTCAGCGGTTGATACGAACGCCTACCGCCCAACTACTCGGCAGTCAAATGACACTCAATTTTGCTGGTGCTCAGAACGCCGTAGGCAATCCACAAGTAAGTTACTCGTTCGAGTGCCGCCTCGAATGGAATCGCGTTGGGTATATACTCCTGGACTTCGAATGTTGAGTCGCAAGCGTTTGTATTTATGCCTTACGTCAATGTAATTATCGCATATTGGCTTCAAAGAGATCGCTTGTATAAGAGTTAAATAGAAATATCAGTTGTGCTTCGCATATTGTCTACGTTTGACTTCGAACCGGTCGCATAATCCAGCCAATGAAATTCCCCAGGATGTAAAAGTTCTCATACTTCGCTGAGCATTAGCTCGGCCTGATCTCATAGGCAGCAGAACACAGTTTTAGCCCAAAACTTTTGGGGCGACATTCATTTATGTTAACAACTTTTTTGTTGTTTATGTTGGCACCGTGGATGAGGTGGTTGGTGACGGCTCTTTTCAGATTATCCAATCGCAACAATCAGCATATCATGGTCAACAGCCCTATCCTCAAGATGCCTATATACAGCGAATGAATTCTCAGAATCAATGCTGCAGTATAATGTGAATGCTCGTTCGTTCCTATTTTGTACCTTTTATGCGAACGAAATTACAGTTGCGTGTGTCTTTTCTGAGCGATGAGATTTGTGTTGGAAACAACAAATGATGACTAATACATCATCAACTCGATAGTGTTACTCTACCTGAAACTTTCTCAATCAGCTGGGAAGATGCTCTCGCGTATGGCGTGGACTATTCCCTCTCATCCCTTTCAAGTGGAATCTCCAAAACTGTAGGTTCATGAGACAGTGCTGAAGTGTACGATAGCTTTCCTCAACTTCCTCACTGAATATAGGAGTTCACATACGAATTTGGAGAGGAATATACTGAAATTCCTCAGAATCTCATCCTGTCACAGTGACAGTGTCACTAACATATGCGATTGATTACGTGCATATTTTCCGATCATCCGAGATGTCGATATGTAGTGTTTATATCGCTTGTTTATGAGGAGGCAGGAGGACGAAGTCCACAAGCTAAGCCTCGGGTGAAGTGTATTCAATTAGCCGCGTGCGTTCCTACACTATAACAGAGGAAAACAAGACCTGGTTGCTGTTGTGTTATCACGACGTTGAAAACTACTTAATGCCAAATGCAGAGACCTGGTGTAAGAATGGCCATACTTGGCCGCCATACTGTAGTGGGCAATATGAGGTTGAGTTTTCAAGGTAGGGGGACAACTGAGGACTTCAGCTTGTATGGACTATACAAGCGCAACGGAATCGTCACTTAACTGTGAATTGGATGGGAATGCACATTTATCTTCACATCGGGATACGTGACATGATCTCCCAGCTCATGTGAATAGCAGACGAACTCAGGAGGTTCCATTCAAAAGCTCTCGACGAGCTCTTTCCTGCTTCCTGTACAGTGTGTGGGCACACTGTAAGACTAATAGCCCGATCCTACGCCGCCATTTGTCCCTCTGTATTATCATCCGCAACCTTTATTAGCCTTTTCTTTACCGACTCACAGCCACCCGGGACTTCCCGGCGCCGACGCAGGTGACGTCATCCTGTATTTCGCATGGGTCATGGGTTTCCCCATGAGCACGTACATGTTCAAACCAGGAATATTTCTTCCCAATTTTCAAGGGAAATTTTGACAATTCGACAACCATCCAGTCATAGCTAGAAAACATAATCGAAATAATCGCATCGCGATTAGAGGTTTCGTTCCGCAAGAAAGGTGGTAAAAAGACTCAGAACTCTTCTAGATATGCCCAAACCCCCGCGGCTCGTGCAGCATTTCACCAAGGTCCGTCATTTTCCTGTGCAATCCAGCTCAAGTCAACGCCTCCTTTTCCTTCCTGTCGAAAAATTTCTTCAGCCATCATCCTAAGTTTTCACACTTTCCACAACTAAGCGTTTCCTGTCAGATCTCGCAAGTCTACTGCGTTCCAACCTAAAATGCTCCATCACTACTAAGGAGGCTGACTCAGGACAGACAAGCTCCCTGCTTCGCTCCGCTGTACCTGCTTTTCATTTCTACTCAACATTGCTGACCATAGATCCACTGCGCCTCCATATCAACCTGGAAGAGTTTTTTACGATACAACCCTAACAAATTTTCTCAGCCAAGCTCAATTATCGCTAGTGGTTACCATTTTGGTCTGTAATTATTACACATAATCTACTACTCCGAAGAAACTAACCTCAATCTGTCATTTTCATTAATACGGTTAATAGTCGTTTGTATTCTACCGTCACGTAGACGCACAGAGCTCGTCAGCCATCGCCGACTTCAGCGAGGTTAACTGCTCCCTGGTCCCTTCCTTTGCCAGTCATCGTGCAATCTTGAAGCGTTTGCAAGGCAGCGAAAGGATGCGGAAGCGATAACTGTGTTGACAACTACTTGAAAAAGGCACTCGACTTGAAATTATACACACACCGCAACACACTAAAAAAACAAATAAACGGCGGTGAATTTTCCAAAAAATTCTTGTAAATTTACAAAAATGAAATTTCGCAGATAGACCATTTACAACTCTAACACGAGCAACCACATCCTTATTGAAAAGAGTACAGATAAAGTGACAAGGAAGCACCTTCTAATCTAAGAATTCAGAGAGCCACCTGAAGCCTTCAGCGTAGCCCATTCTTTTCACCACTGAGCACATAAACACCTCCACTGGTCTGATACCGGACTCTCGGGCGTTTTTCACCATTTGCTTGTTGATGTCTTTACCGAAGGTAGTGTGCCCGTAGAGGCCCAAAGACTGTCGCAGCTCTTCCTCACTAGCGGCAGTTCTCACATCGATTTTGTTGCCCAATACCACAATGGGAACGTTCTGGAGCTCGGGACTTTCCATAAGGTGTCTTAACTCTTCAGCAGCTTCGGGGAATCTCGTGCGATCAGCGGCATCGACAAGAAAAATAATTCCATCAACGGTGGCGTAGTAGTCCTTCCAGATCCTTCTAGCCGTCTCGTGACCTCCCAAGTCGAATGTGCGGAATCTTATTTTGCCGATGAGAAGCTCTTCGGAACAAGGATGCAAAGTAGGTACGTGAGTGGCCACCTTGTCATCTTTCAACATGTGCAAGAGAGTCGTCTTCCCAGCATTGTCGAGGCCGAGGAATAGTATCTTGGCGTTTTTGTGAGAAAGTCCCAGCCAGTTCAGAGTATCCCAAAACCAGTTTACGATGAACATTTACTCTCTTCTCTAGCAAGGCTGAGTGAAGCTAGTCACTGCTGGTATCAGTGGTCGGCGTTGACGCGGCTCTTGCCGTCAACCGCGCGCGCCGATCTGATCGACTTTGATGATGGTCGAGTCGAGTTGAGTTGAGTTGAGTCGAGTTGAGTCCTCTCTCTCTACTGAGCGAGCATTTCTATCGGCGCAGGCATGGAGGGAATTGTTATTACTTTGTATTTCAATTGTGCTAGGCACAGCGGAATGCGTCGGGGATAAAAGA